CGGTGGCTGCAGTTCTACCTGTGCGCGGTGGAGAGCTGCACGGAGGCCGCGATCCTGGTCCACTACAAGCACACCGTCTTCGCCTTCCTCACCTGCTTCATCTTCGCTAGCCATCTGCCGGAGCGACTTGCCCCAGGACACTTCGACTATATTGGTAAGTGCCGAAAGGGTGAGCTGGCATTTTTTTCTCATTATTTTCAGGAAAAAAAAAAAAAAAAAGCACATTAATGCATCAGTGACTCCTGGAGGTTATAGTATATTCCCTGCTGGAAATCCCAAATGTAGTTTTACATACAAGCTACAGCAGTCCTGCCGAGGTGAAGCGGGAGCGGCTCCGGAAGCACGCTGTTTCCCAAATGTTTCACAGAGGGTTTCGTGGCCGCAAAGCACTCGTTTCTCATGCAAAAAACCCCTCACCTGCGGCATGGCGGTGCTTTGCAGTGCCATGTCAGGGCACTGCAGGAGCAGCCACCAAGGAGACCAGGTGGCAGTCCTGGCCGCAGCGGGGTGTTCCCGCTTCCTCCCGTCATGCTGGGCACAAGCACAGCGCTCCTTAGCACGTCGTGTCTGTCGGGATCGCAGCAGCGGGCTGCACGTCCCTCGCTTCCATTACAGCCAGCTGCATTTTGGAAAGGAAGTTCTCTGTGCTCTGGTGGCGTGATGATAAAAGCCACAGAAATTAGTAGAATAAATATTTAAAAATGCGATGCCCAGAGGCAACGGACGCTATGCGGAAGGTCTGCCGAGCCCTCGCGGTGGTGTTTTAATGAAGCCCAAGGCGTCTCTTGGTGAGTGCTCTTGGCTTTGTTGCAGGGCACAGCCACCAGGTTTTCCACGTGTGCGGGATCATCAGCACGCACTTCCAGATGGAGGCCATCATGATGGACATGGCCGAGCGCCACGACCGGCTCCTGCCCACCCCGCTGCTTCCCTCCTCCCTGCAGACTCTCGGGTCGATGGGCGTCTGCACGGCCGTGAGCCTGGCTGTCATCGGGCTCTGCTCCATGTCCCTGCGCTTCATGCCAGAGCCTCTGCAGAGAGAAAAACCACACGGGCATTAGGCTTTGGGTCTGAGTAGTATTTATGCTGCTCTGTGGGAGAGACCCTAAACAATACGTGCGTGGTAGGGATGAGGAGGAATTTATGCACCTACGCTCTCTGAGAAAACGTTTATGTAAAGTTTTCTCAGGAGCGAAACATATTGCACTGGTTTTTGTACATAGAGCTTTAAAGTTGGGAGCAGATTACGAAATGCTTTTAATCACGTTGCTATTTCACCACAAGAAATATTTAAAATAATCTTAACTTTTTCTGTAAAAGGGAGATAAGTGCTAATACTTTCCAAAGCAATAGGCGTTCACCAGGCCTGCCTTACGGAGGAATCAGGGAGGCAAGTGACCCTGGATAGAGCTGGTCATCTGGTGACAAGGATGTCCTCGTCATCAGTTCAGACCGACAGCCAAGACTCCGTGGTGAAGGCACGAGGAAGGGCTCTCCCAGGGGCTCCCTAAGGTTTTCACCTGGAAAGTGGCATTAAAACCTCAAATATCCGTGTTACGCAGCCTTACACTAAACCCAAGTGCCTGACAGACGTGGGATTAAGAGAGACTAGAGTTTGCCTATGTTTCAAATTCAGCTTTTTTTAATCATTACCCAGAAAGAGTTATTCTAGGAGAACTCTCCACGGGACGTTCCTCCAGAATAGCTTTTTTTTGGGTCCCGTTCTGGTGCATAGGTAAGTCCTGGGAAATTAATGGGAGAGCTGCACTCCCACCCGCGTGGGCGATGCGAGCGCCTGGCAGCCGATGCTGCCCCAAGCGCAGAGCACGGGAGGCCCCGTCCCTCCCTCCTTGCACCGGCCATCTCCGTCCTGTACTCACGGCTGGGCTCCTTCTCTGACCCCACTTGTGCCATCAAACGTAAACGGAGGAAGAAACACCTGCAGCCGCGAGGTGACGACGTGGGCTTCCTCACAAGCACCGTTTTGTGCCGAGTGCTTAACACGGGTGTGAAGCCGCGTTGTTCAGGAAAGGTGTTTGACACCTTGTGGAGGGTGATGGCCGAGAAATTCACGGCTGCCACGTCAAGGCATCCTCTCCCGGAGGTTTCTGGAGGCAGGACGCTGGGCTGGACGGACCCGTGGCCGGAGGGTGTGACTGATGGTAGAGCCACTGCCTCTGAACCTCTCTAGGTTCTGGTCCCGTTTGCATATCAGAATGTTTTTCTTTTCACCAGTGAACAGGAGGGGGGTGTCTGGAGAGAATAAAACATCAGCTGAGCAAGAAGCGGGAGTCTGTACAGCGGAGAGACACGAGCATTGGCGGGTGAAAGGCAGGAGTTAGAACAGCTCAGCTGGTAATGCCCGGGGGGGTCAAACCCTGCAATTTTAAAGCGTTTCCAGAGTTAGACCTCGCTCGCCCAGCCTTATGCCCAGGCTGTCGCTCCTTGCTTTCCTTTGCTGCTGCATCTGGGTTTTCCAGGCAGAAGCAGAGAGCTCTGGAGGGAGCCCGGAGGTCCCGGCCCGGTCCGGGGCGGGGAGCGCTCGGCTGGGGGCTCCGGCGATGGAGGTCATCACATTGGGTTTACCTAACGCCGCGCAGGAGGTACGGGAACATGTGATGCAAAGATTACTGCTAGGGAATATTATCAAGCTTCTTGATAATCATACGGGTGTATAATTTGTTTTGTGTATAATTACCTCTATCAAGGTATAATTGATGCACTTTTGAGTGACAATACAACAGCTCGTTAAATATGTTATGGGACAAGTAAGTCTTTTGAAAAATAGCTTTCTCCTGAAAGCTGACCAAGATTTATATTAATATTTATAAGCACTGGAACATAATTGTTTATTCAACAGTTTTATTTCATTAAAAGAGAAAACTAATATAACTATCGCACTGATATATGCTAACCTGATTTGTATAGTTTCATAAAAATACCGGCTGTGAAAATTAATCACTTCAGAGATAATTGCTGATAATTGCAAAGCTTATTTACCTTGTGTGCTCATGTGACTGGAAAGGAATCTGGCTCTGCGTGCAAGACCTGATTTAAGAGTCTGTAAAATTTACAGGAATCATTATAACTTCTTTCTTGGTTGTTTAACTTTCGAATTTGAGAAGTCATCTCGTCCTCTTTAGGTAAAATACCTGCAGGAAAACTACATTAAAAAATATTACACTGTATTATCCATTACCATAATCCCTCTGGATCCTGCAGCGCTTCGCAAGGACCCTTTGTCTGGCGCGTACTTTACATACTAAGCGAGTGAATGTTTGATCTTGAGGCAGCACAGGTCAGCCAGATTTCTTGTTCAGTTGGAGACAGGCCTTCAAAAAGCTATTCCATGTGCTAGATTTTATTCACATAAATAAATAAAAACTCTGTGTCAAATTGTTACGAGTAAATCGTACAGGATATTTATTTGCTGGAACGTGTTGTTTCGCTGTGTGTCTGCGTGCACTCCAGAGCAAATCCCAAAAAAACCCCTGTTACCTTTATGACCAAATCCCAGAGAACATTGCTCATCTGCTCTTCAGCCAAGGAGATTTTACAGCGCTGACCAACCATGCAGACACAGCAGCTTTTTAGGTCTGTCGAATTCCTTTGGGTTAAGGTGAATCGAAATATTCCTGAATAACGCTTAATCCAGAAGACGCGTGCCTTCTTCCAGAAGATTATAACGCACAAGGCAGATTTAAATAAGTGGGAATGAGGGTATAAACGTGATTGCGGCAGTAGTTAGGACTGTCTTCTGGAGCACTTCCCCGGGCGAGGCAGGCGTTGTCGTCGGGCTTGCTGTACCTTCAGCCTTGGGAAAGGCGTCCAGTGCGTGCACCGTCAGCTCCTTCGTTAAACCACCTTTCCTCCTGCGACAGTACTGAATTGTGCTCTCGTCCATCCTGCGCGTTATCGTTGTCCAGGTGGACAGCGGTAGGCTGGGTTTAATTTATTAAAAGTCTTAAGCGGCCTGGGATCGACGAGAAGCAAGAGGCTGCTGCGGCAGTCAGCAGAGTTTTTTGCTGCAAGTGCAGCTTTGGGCGCTTGTATCCGTTACTTTCCAGGGCTTTGGGAATTTGGTCGGGTTTTTAGGGTGCCAGCCCCATTTAGCAGTTTTAGGGTGCAGGGCAAGGACGGTCGTGGCTTGCGAGGGGCTCTGTGGCGGTGCGACTGCAGGTGGGGCTCTGGTTCTGCTCTGGGGGAGCTCAGTTTGATTTTGGTCGTTTGTACCCTTGATGCGAGCTGGGAGACCGTTCAGCGAGGCGTCTCTTTCAGCGCGATTTAAACACTGTTTAAGAAGCGAAGGTTGGCCCAGGACAGCGGCTTGTTATGAGAGTGGTCACAGTAAAAAAGAAAAAGACAGCTTGTTGGGACTTCTTGGCACTTTTTTTTCTTTTTTTGTTTCCCTTAAGGGGTTACTGACGATGCAGTTAAATTGAGCTAAAATGAGAATTGACTGGAGTCCGCGGTTTAAGCAAGACCGAGTCCAACCCACCGGCAGCTTTCATAGCTGCTAGCCGGGTTAAAACCCGAGTTAGCTCACCTGTGACCCCGGGCTCCCCATTTGAACTAGAAGTGCGCTTCCTTCGCAGGAAGAAAGTCTTTTCAATGGTCTTGTTTGGCCGGGCTTTGTCCTCGTGTCTTAACTTCACATTTCAGGCTCTGCTTGCCACCATCGAGCACTCCCTACAAGGCGAGGAATTAACTCATCTGCCTCCCGGCAGGTCAGGCCCAGCCACAGGCAGGGCCCCGCGCCGAGCGCTCGCCGGGCTGCGCCT